CCCCCCGTACCCACCCCAATGGACCTTGTGGAAATAAATGGATTAGTCCATCAAATTGCTCATCAAAATTTAGCTGTGTATACCAAATTTCATTCATTTATCACAACGCGATTGAGAGATATTGCAAAAAAATGATTTCCATTCCTCCCTCTTCAATGGGTCCCTGTGCCCTTAGGAAGCATTTCCGGACCCATGTTCATATGAATATTTTTACTTAGTTCTGATCATAGAATCGGCCTGTTCAGGGTTGGCAGCTAATTATGAGACACCCTGTATATATTTTTGTTATATATTGTCATAAAATGAAAAATCCCTTGATTTTATTTGTCACTAACCTATTATCCTTTCATATTAATTTTTTCTTTATATTCTTTTCGCTGAATCTTGGGAACAGTTTTTTCCGAACCAATAAAATTTTGGCGCAACTATTAATCTTAAAGTGGAGGTGGAATTGATTCAGGTCTGTAGTCTGTGGTCTGTTCTGTGCCATAGGGTCATAGGATAGGTATAGTGATGGGCAAAACGGGTCATTTTTAGGATTCGGGTCACCGGATCCGGGTCTCTTCAATGAGCCGAATCTATGATCCGGATCCCGGGTCGTCGGGTCGGTCGCTTCGTTCTGGATCCGACGTTGACTGAACGGTTCTGGTTGTGGGACTGTATTAGAATCTGGGGTATTAGTGCTGGGCGATAATATCCGATGTTTGGAAAGCATCGATGTTTTTCTGTCGATGGTTTGTCAATTGTCATCGATGTTAGAAAGTTCGAAACATCGATTCCAATATCGATGTTTGCCTTTCGATGTTACTTGCATACATCGCAAAAAAGAGCAGTTCTTTAATAATAGTAATATTTTATTTGACACAAATCAAATATAATAGTATATTACATTATAGATAAGCATAAGGCCGTTATATAGGTATATTTTATGTTTTCTTGAACCTTTTGAATCTAAAAAAATTGTTGTTGTTGTTGTTAGACATGAAGATCCATTGCTGTGGTGGTATGAAAGGAAAAATATATATCCAAAATTATATCATAAATAGCTATTATATCCACTTATCAAAAAATAAAAAAACGATTTAAATAAATAAAATATATCCTTAAAGGTTGCAAGGTAAGTTAGTAGAAAGATAGGTATCTAAATATCTACTAAATCCTATAGTCTACATTATTTTTCACATAATAATTCACTTGACATGAGAGAATAAAACTGTTTTTATTTTACTAAACAAAATCGAGCAGCTGATGGAAATAACGAGCCAATAAAATATATCATAATCATCTGATGTCACCGCTCTCGCTACTGCAGGTGGCTCAGCCGCATGAATGGGCAGAACGGGTCATCATAATGATTGATCTAGATGACCCGGGTCACTAAAATACACGAGTCTTCCCATCACTACATACGGGTCTCGGGAGCGGCGGCGTACTCCGTAAACCTCTGCGATCAATTTCATTACATAGTGCCACAGCACGGCCATACGAGATTAGCTGAGGTCCGCGACCCGAGTGATCCGACAGAACTTATATCGGGATTCGGGTCAGTCAGATCATCGTAAAGATCCGAATCTTTGATCCGGGTCAGACCCGACCCGCCCATCACTAGATAGGTACAATATAACTATATTTTATCTATGGATAGGTATTAGGTACAATATGAAACAGTAAAAAGGTTCTTATAATTTCAAAACGGTAGTTTGCAAGTGATAAACTATAAAGCATTTGCAAAAATATCAGTATTACGTTTAATATGATTTATTTATTTATTATAAGCATTATTTTGAAAAGTACGATAATTCTAGTACAAATACGATAATTTTACGCTGCGGGTACGATAATTGCCTCGCTTCAGATTGTGAACACGATATGACTAAATAAATTTAGTTAATTAGTTAACTAATATGGTGAACACTGCATTTTTGATATCTGACATCGTAACGCAACCTCAAAAAATTACATACATATTTCATGTACAAAGTAGGTATATATATCATATCTTTTTTATATCTTGTAAATTTTCTTTACATATGAATTAAAGATGAAACCAAGTGTAAATTAGAAATAATTAAGTTCACTGTGTAATTCCTAGTAGGAGAAGCAATCATTTTCAAAAGTCCAGTGAAACTAAATATAAGCTGTTTGCACGGAATATTTTTATACTCATTTCAATATTTACAATGAAATGAGTAAATTGTATGAAAATGATCATGGATTTCTTATATCCCATCAACAGTACATTAATGAATTATATAAAGAGATGCATCCTCCAGTGGAAATTAGTTCGAAATTATTTAGTATTAGAAATCAATATAAAGTGCAAAAAAACAATAACAAGAGAACGGTTGATTGCATCAAATATGAAGCCCTTCAAAAAGAGCAAGATAATATCAAATCCAAGTTTTCCATTTTTATCGCTGGTGCAAAGCAGGTGTTAAATTGCTACGAATTTAATAACAAAGATGCTTTGGAGACTGCTAAATTTGTCTATAATATGACTGGAAAAGCCTTAGTTAAGAATGCTCATGGTGCAAATGTTGGATCAGCAACAATTAAATCTGTAAATGGTTCTAATTTCCTTTTCCCAGAAAACTCTATATTTTACTCTAAAAATGTTTCAGACATACAAACACATTTGAATAATGAAACGTATGATCTAATTTTGTTGGATCCGCCATGGTGGAATAAGTACATAAGAAGGAAAAGAAAAAAATCAGGAGATGCTTATAACATGCTGTTTAATAATGACATAAAAAATTTGCCTATTGAACACTTGTTAAAAGATGATGGAATGGTAGTGGTATGGTGTACAAATTCTCAACAACATATGGATAGTTTATTGACTGAAATATTCCCAAAATGGGGAATCAAGTATATCGGAAAGTGGTATTGGGTGAAAATAACATCAACTGGAAAACCAGTTTGTTCATTTTCACTACCTCCAGGAAAACAACCATACGAGCAAATTATATTTGGATGCCGAGGGAATTTGTGTACCATCCCTTTCAATAGTAAATTGGTTGTTAGTGTTCCAAGTGCAATACATTCCCACAAACCTCCACTAATAGAGTTGATAAAAACGTTCCTACCAGAAAATCCGGCATGCTTAGAAATATTTGCAAGGTATCTTCTTCCAAACTGGACCAGTTATGGCAACGAGGTTTTACGATTACAACATGAAAGTTTATTTGTTAAAGTTTAATAGTTATATATGATATCGCCCAAAATTAGTGACTAAATGAAATATACAAATTATAAATCACATTGTTACAAATGAAATACTCTTAAGTGTATAAGTTGCTTCAAAATTATTGTATAGTGTCTGTGTGTGGTACCGTTTAGCTGCATGTGGCTAGTACAAATGTTTATGGAATAATGTCAGATTTACCAAGACGATAACAACTAAAAATATGGGCAAAATTGTAAAGGAATGGTTTCGTGAAGATAATGCACAAGTTTTGAAGTGGCCGGGTTACTTTACAGATTTGAATTTATAGATTATGGAGTGTAGACAAGGAGTGAAGACTTTTATGGGTCAAGCATACAAATTCGGATCCCGTTTTATGACCCAAATTAAAACTTAAGAACTCGTCGTTGTAGCGCTGATGCATTTTTTCATACTCTACTTACATCAGCACCGCCTTTACGTGACCCAAGAAATTGCTCACTTTTTTTAACACGGAGTCGTCACTCCTTGTTATACACTCCATTCTATAGATAAAGAAATTATTTCAAAATATTGCCAACAGGTTATTGTTAATAAAGGTTACTAGACAAAATATTTATTTATTTGCTTTTTTATTTTGTATCGTTTTGATTTTATTTAGCAGGACTTTCATTGTGGATTTAAACTCCTGTTCAAAATTAACGCACCATTATAAATTTACCGAAATTTTGTTGCTACTTCTTTTCGTAACCTGGAGTCCGATGTCAATGATTTTTTTTTGCATTGTAGGTTTATTTCTTGACAATGTCACTATACTTTTTGTTTTTGATAAAACGTTAATTTTCGGTTTATACCGGGCGTAATAAAAATAGTGTTCTTTTTACATAAATTTGTAACACCCTGTGGGGTATACCAGTAACTCTAACATATCGCAATTGAAACCAAATTGTAGCCCCATCTTTCCTTAACATTTTTTTTTTCACTTTATTATCTCTATTATTAAAGGAGATATGCCGCCTTTAAGCTCAATGTGTTTTTATTCATCTTGCTATCGCATACAGTCGTGTTTAAATTAAGTTACCATATTATTAACTAATTTACTGCAATATTATAACAAACCGTAGATGGCTTATGGCATGATGGATTAAAGCTTGACAGTTTCAAAACCTTTTCTGGTAATGAAAAGTCAGAAGTCTTTGTTAGTATCGAAAGAAAATAAGTTAAAACCCTTAAAATTTAGAAATATGAATCGACCACGTTGTTTAATAAATGATCATTGTGTAAGAGTAACTTTAGTAGAAGAAAGACGAAGTATGCGTTATGTGGCCAATCTGTTAGATGTTAATCATTCCACAATTAGTCGTATGATTAGAAGATATAGGGAAACAGGATTGTACTCTAGAAGACAAGGGCAGGGAAGAAAGAAATTGACGAGTCCAAGGATTGAGTGTTTTCTCTGTCAAAAAAGCACAAGTAAGGAGGTTCACAATGAACTTAAAAATGTAAGAAATGTTATGATTTCTGCTCTGACTGTCAGAAGACGTTTAAAGGAAGTAGGATTAGCTAGTAGGAGGCCTGCAATTAGACCACTGCTTACCGCAGCACATAAAGTAGCCCGATTAAGATTTGCTTAGAAATCATGCAAATTGCAGTGTTGGCGACTGGAAACAAGTTTTGTTTCCCGATGAGACCAGGGTAAGCTTGAAATCTTCAGATGGTCGTGAAACGGTATGGCGAAGACCTGGAGAAAGATTATTGCTATACCTGTAACATCGTGTCGAAGGAACCATTTAGTGGTGAGTCTAAATTGTTTTGAGGAGGTTAATGAATGCTCAATTTTACTTGGAAAATATTGTTCAAGATCACGTAATGCCTTTCGCGCCCTTTATCAGTTTATTTTCATGCAAGACAATGCTCGCCCTCATGTCGCACGGCCGGTTTTGGAATACTTAAATCAGGTCAATATTCAGGTGATGGACTGGCCACCACGGAGCCCAGACATGAATCGTATAGAGCATCTTTGGGATGCTCTAAAAAAAGCTGTTAGACGTTATTTACCCACACCGCAGAATCTTCAAAGGCTGGAAAACGCTGTTCTTTTGGAATGGGAAACATTTCTCAGGAAAGCGTTCAGCAGCTAATAAGAAGTTTACCACGACGAATGCAGGCAGTTATCCGATCCTGAAGCGGTATTACACGTTATTAGGTTTCCTAAAACTTTATTTGTATTCATTACTGAATAAACTTGTTTCATTTTAAATTTACATTATTAATCATGCATAAAATTGAAAAAGGTGGCATATCTCCTTTAATAATAGAGATAATAAAGTGAATAAAAAACAAAATGTTGAGGAAAGATGGGGCTACAATTTGATTTCAATTGCGATATGTTAGAGTTACTGGTATACCCCACAGGGTGGTACAAATTTACGAAAAAAAACACTATTTTTATTACGCCCGGTATAAACCAAAAATTAACGTTTTATCAAAAACAAGAAGTATAGTGACATTGTCAAAAAACAAACCTACAATGCAAAAAGAATCATCGACATCGGACTCCAGGTTACGAAAAAAGTAGCAACAAAATTTCGGTAAATTTTCACTGCTCAAAATAATTAGAGGAACACTTATTTAAATCTCAATAACTTTTTTATTTGTAATACTATATAAATCTAATAAAGCATATCTTAAAGACTGACATTTTGTTCGAATAAATTTATGAAAATAAAACAAATTTACATAATCATTCTTGAGACAATAGTACCAATTCAAAAAAACAAGAAATAAAGTGAAACATACAATCAAAATTTCAATTTAGAAATATGCTGTGCCTTGGAATAGTAAACAATGTTGACAGTTCAGCATAAATTGTAGAAAAATGAGGCATCTAAGTGAAGTTGAGGTCGTTCGTGTTGTTGCTAGTATAGAGTATGGCACCAGTATTCGACAGGTTGCAAGAGATTTTAACGTAAGCCCTTCTGTCATCCATCGTGTGTGGAATCGTTACTTAGAAACCGGAGGATATAAAAGACGCATTGGACAAGGTCCTAAGAGGAAAACAAACCGAATTTAGGACAGGTTTTTAGTCCTATCCTCCTTGTGTTCTCGAACATCCATAGCAAAAGACCTTCAAAGTAGGCTCAGAACGACTCGTGGGTTGGAAATTTCCGATCAGACAGTTATGAATAGACTGAGAGAAGCAAACTTGAGACCAAGAAGACCCGTGCGAAAACCTATTTTAACTCTGTATCTCATAAGGTCCCGTTTACATTTTGCACGTGAGCATGTGGCATGGCAACTTCGATATTGGAGACCAGTACTCTTCACAGATGAGTCACGATTTCGTTTAAGTCGTTGTGATGGTTGAGTACGTGTATACCGACGTCCACATGAACGCCATTCTTCAGCTACCATACAAGAAGTCGAAAGATTTGGTGGTGGGTCAGTGATGGTTTGGGGCGGAATTAGTCTTGATGAAAGAACCGATCTTGTCATAGTTCGAGGGACTTTAACCGCTGAACGGTACATTGATCTCATTCTAGAAGATCATGTTATACCAGCCGTTTATGGTATAGGTCCAAATTTTCTGTTTATGCAAAATAATGCAAGGCCACATACTGTGATTATCACCATGAACTACCTTCAACATCATGGGATTCAATCCATGGATTGGCCTCCGCTAAGTCCTGATCTAAACCCCATCGAACATCTTTGGGATTTGTTAGATAAGCGTGTTTGGAGGCGCCCAGACCCACCTCAGACTCTCCAACAGTTAACAAATGCCCTAATCGAAGAACGGGAGAATATACCACAAGGCATTTGTAGGCTCATCCGAAGCTTACCACGGAGGTGTCAAGCAGTAATTCGTGCTAACGGAAGACATACATGATATTAGTGAACCAAATCTCACCAGGACTTTTATGTTATACAGACAGGAGCACAGACTTCACTTTATTTTTTGTAGTTTTTTTTTAAGTTGGTGCTGTTGTCTCAAGAGTGATTATGTAAATGTTTTATTTTCGTAAATTTATTCGAACAAAATGTTAGTCTTTAAGATATGCATTATTAGATTTATATAGTATTACAAATAAAAAAGTTATTGAGATTTAAATAAGTGTTCCTCTAATTATTTTGAGCAGTGTATAATGGTATGTTAATTTTGAACAGGAGTGTATTTTACAGTATTTTTTTTTTCATAATAAATGCTATATTTTGTCTGCAGAACACTTACAAAAAAAATGTAACACTTTTGCGGTAATTGGAAGATACATTATTTTTCAATTATTTGGGTCAAAATCAGAATAGATTTAAACAAATGCTGCCAAAAAGCAGTAATAGATCTTGGAAACAGTTCGTAACTACAAAAACCTTGAAATACTAGTATTTTGTTTTCAGTTAATTTTTATACGATATACGTAGAAAGAATAAAACGAAAGTAGAATTACAAATATTTTTATTTATCATAAAAATAATCATAAATTATTAATACACAGACAGACTGAATTGCTTCATTAACAAATAATGAACTAATTGATTTTTGGCAATATGTACATCTTTCCTAATTAATATACACTAAACACAACACAACAATGAATTATATAAAATTATTTTTATTGGAATGGAACGTTGCCAAATATTTACAGTTCTTAGTTATTTAAACAAAAAAAATCGTCAATAAAATTTTGTGGCACTGGACTGAAATTAGATTTGCTAAAATTATAATAATCACAGACAAATACAACAAACATAATAAAAAAATTTCTTCACTGGCAGCAATGTGTTTATTACACTAATTTTTTTTTAAAGTAATGCGGTTTTTATAAAACACCCAAAACTTTTTGATTATGTAATCGCTAAATGTTAACACTGCATATTACTAAATGCATTAATTTGATTATAACTTGTTCTTACTTTTTTTTTTTCAATAAATTATCAGTCAGTTTTCAACATTCAACCAATCGTTTTACGCAAAGTAAAGTTAACTCAATGGCAAAAACAAATAAGTTACTGGTTGAATGTTAGAACAGTCAAATGAAAGAGAAGATATAAAGTTAACAAAGAAATCCCAGTTGTGTGTGAGGGGTTAACTGTTTCATTACATTTCCTCTTCCATTGTAGCTTCAGAGGTAGCTTTTTCGGAATGACAGCTGACATTATGCTAAATAGCCTTGGTCGACTGTATTTTATAATAATTATTATTTGTACTTATCGATATACTGTATGTAGTAACAGGAAGCATTTACCTTGTAAGATTAGAGAGCACAACCTAACGTAAGGTTAGTATCATGCTTTCCAAAAGTATCTTTTAGAGACACTACATCTCCTTTATACGGTATATATATTTACATAAATACTATACAAGAATACAATTAACAATCTTTGGTTAAAACATAAACAATGAGACAAACCGATCTAACAAAAATTACATGAAACGGACAACTTAAAAGTATAAAATAATACTAAAAATAACTTGCCATTATAGACATGAGATCTAATACAATTCTTAAAAACTGTCCTCTGCTACACCTACCTATATTAAATAATTACAAAATATACACAAACTTTCAATGTGTCAGTACGATAGCTTAAGAATTGCATCAAACAATAAAATCAGTCTGTTTAAAAATCAGTAAATACACATAAATCTCCATTTAAGTAATGAATATTGTCCAGTTTTTAGCTAAAAAGCATATGGCTGATGAGCTACGACTTGAGTTGCAATTTGCTTGACATTTTCCCAAGGTTAAGTTCCCTGTTTGGGTCTATTTGTAAATAATTGACATGATTTACGTTGTTTTATAATAAACTATATATAAATGGCATCAGACAAATTCATAAAAATAAACCCTGTATATGTATATTTTTATTTCTGATTTAGAAATAGTGCTGAAACCTTCCCACTTTCTTCCAGCGATGAAACGAGGGAAATATAATAACTGATTTTGCTCAGTTAATAGCAATATATTTTTCTATGAATATGAATTGAAAGACTGAAACAAACCTGTTCCTTTAAATACAACACAATTGTACGAGATATGATTTTTAAATAAGGTCCGTTTTATAATACAACAAAGAAATGGCCATGAAGAATTGCACTTGCTGTTCTTTAAGTATGACCTAATACTTTTCGATATGTGAGAAGTATTAGTAATTTACTATCATTGTTACTACTAGCAAAAAAAAAATATTTTTGCGTTATTATTTTAAAACTTATCACCTGCAAAATAGGCTATAAACTTTAAATAATATAAATAAAACGAAGTCTCAGCAGGATACAGGACAACTGATGAAAAATTAAGCAGTGGCGGCTCGTCAGGTGACACACCGCTTCACCTATAATTTCCGTTTGGTTGTGCAATTTAAAATTATTTTTAATTTTATATAAATTTTATAATTTAGGTATAATTCTATATTGAAAATGTACTGTGTTTGTTTAATACGCAGAAATAAACAGAATAGTTGCGTGGTGAACGCCTTCTAAAAAAAAATAGCCTTCGTTGAGCGTGAACATCAACCTCGGACCATACAACGCATAGTATACGCAAGTGACGCAGATTGAAATCGGTCTGTATTCTATTTCTCTTCGTAGCTTTGTTTACAGCGGTTGTCATGACAACGAGGCGGCCAATATGTAATTAAACTACGGCGTGGAGGAACGAGTGACCCAGAAATTGAAACAGCATCGCTCATCGCCTGCCTTTAATAGTTTATACGATACGCGTCGCCCAGTATACGATTATAACGGTCCTTTGTTAATATTTGTTTTGTATAATAGTTGTAGAAATGTTTCCTATGTATGGTCCAGTATGTTTTTTATTGAAACGCTATTTTCCAGATGAAAAATTGAGGACAAAAAGGATTTTTTAAATTGCGAGAGACCTGTGCCTTATTCTCACGATATGGAAAAAAGGGGAAGTCAAAAGACAACGTGTACGTTCGAAAGTTTCGGAATGAATGGTATTCGGAGTTCGGAGTATAAGTGGATGTGTGTTGTATGGCAGTGTTCATTTAAAAAAACTTTTCTGTATGCCGTGTTTAATTGTGGGTGTAAAGTCGGGCGTGTGAAGTAAGGAGGGATTTAACAATTTTGGGAATGTTGCCACGAAGCTTCTTTGAAACATACATATACGGTGTGCGTTAATATTCGTAAGCCGAACTAATATTTCTATTTTTTATAAAATCTAAATGAAAATCCTTCTCACGAACGTCAGTTTTTCGGTAATATTGCATATGCAACTAAAAAGTTCCAGATTCATTTAAAGCCGTTTGACCTTGAAAATTTGAAAATGTTCACCAGCAGCGCGCTTTTTTTTCTCTTTAGTCAATTGAAATTAAGTCAAATGGTGGACGTCCAATGAAATTTAGAATGGTTGGCAACCTTATAATAGATATTTCCCCCAACTAGTATGTCAACAAAAAAAATGATGCTAAACGTTGCACAATGTAATGTATGAATCACTAGAAAACATATTTTAGAAATGTATTGCCATAATCGGTAAAATACTTTTAACATCATACATACCTATTTTTGTACAGATTACAAACATAACTCCGTCAACTGTATAAATCCATAACGATAGGTAGAGCGATTTAGCGTCCTCACGTGAGGCATACAGTTATTAATTTTACATAAATATCCGGATTTAAAACAAATTACGCTTCAAATAACCGGATTGTTTGGATCAACTTATCTATGCAAATCTGCGTTTTCTGAAATTAAAATTATTAAATCCAAATATCGCAGTCAGCATACTGACGAACATTTGTCATCATATTTGCGATTGTCAATCAGCAATACGTAATTGCCATCTTATGAAATGTACGCCAGTTTTCTTAAAATTTCCATTTTTGCACTTAACCTCAATGTCGTATGTTTTCGTGGACCGCTTTCTGCTATTTTTAATCACACAAAACTGACCCAAACAACAGGTCATAACTCGACTGTTTTTTAAGTGCCGAGGGGAAGAGATAAGGAATAACGAGCTGATGTGCCGGATTATCGAATATGTATTAGGTCTAACTGCCGGATTATAGAGTTGATGGAGATCTGGCAAATATGCTGGATTACTGGACGTGTCAGACTATCGAGAACTGGATTATCGAGCTTGTACTGTATTTATAAAGAAATTTGTCAGCATACCGCAACATGTGCACTTTCGAATAAAATCAAACAAATAGTTTTCGAGATAATAATTTCTGAAATTCGCCTATTTTTTCTGCTGTCTACTTGGATTTTCCTCCTTAACAGAATAAAGAAAATGTTCTCTTACTTTTTATTTACCGAAAGTCCACACCCTAGTTATAAAAAATTATTTTAGTTAGATACTGTTTCTTTTTTAATTTTAAACGAACCTTATTGAAAAAACATGTCTCGTATCAAATTTGTATTTAATTATAAATTTAGGGTAATCTGAAACTCAGCAATTATTTACTGACTTCATTTTATTTAATCATCGAAGCCCGTTTTATAGACGAGGCTATGAATTTATTTTAACATGAATTTCCTGTGATTAATTTATTTAATAAAAATTGAACTACTAATTAAAATATTACATACCTTTCCACATTTAAAATACTGTTAACAAGGACGGCTACTTCAAATGAAAATTCGGACGATACGTGGCCCAACCATTTCATAACCCCACAAAATGTCAAGCAGTCAAAGAAACATTAAGCTGATACATAGGCATACATGTAATACCGCCCAGTCTTTTCTTTCCTAACCTCACTCCTACATATTATCTTATACAAACGGCACAGCATTCAAAATATTACATTTAATTTACATTTGCGATCACACCGCACACCAGCACTGTTAGGTGTACCACTTTTTCATCATATATCAGCCGAACCTCTCTTTGACTAAAAACATCAGTTTTTTCTTTCCCTTGTAAGCCACTTTCATGTTCTCTATGAGTTGAGTAAACTGGGCGTGGCCGTCGTGGGCCAAGATGAATGTGTCGCGTGCTTTAGTTAAAAAGTCTATAAAGTCACCGTAGTGTCTCGGCGAGATATGGGTAAGCCTAGAGTGGGTTGTATTGATGTATGCGGCAACTGCAGCTTCTAGCAGTTGCCTTAGTGGGGGCCTGTCGTAGGAAAGTGGCTTAACACCACTAGCCGTACAGCTTCGGCTTCTGTGCGGGTGGGGCTGGTGCTTGCCGTTGTCTAGGGGTGGCGGGTGTGGGCATGAAATGCCGGGCGCCGTCATACTGCACCTACGGAGAATATCGGACAAGACTGTGGCACACTGTACGTTCTTCACTAGAAGGGGGATCATGTTAGAGAGCTCGGTTTTGCCCAGAGAATGGCTAAGGGCGCACGCCCAGTGGATATCGTTAATTGCTGGATGTGTATCCTGAAAAGAAGATTTGTTTAGTGAGTTTAGACCAGTGGCGTATGGTAAAAATTAAGTAGTCATATTCTGAAAAGCATGGCATCGATACCGATTTTTAAGGGATGATTTGTATGCTCACATAAAAACTTTCATGATGAGGAAATTTGTAATATAAAAAATTAAAATAGAGGTAGGTAACCAACCCCAAGGTTTAGAAAAGTGTTGCATATATACAGGGAGTCCCAATATTCCATGTACGTGAAGCTACCAAAGTTTTCTGCGATCAAATTGAACAGTTCTTTTAACAGTCTATTACAAGTTATTTCTCTCTTTGAATACATAAATTAATGATGGAATTCAGCGTATAAATCAATAAAATGAATAAATAAATATGTTGAACGGATTTTCCAATGCGTAGATGAATAAATACATAAATAAATGAATAAATCAATATAAAAAGATACTGAAAAATTGTTTACCTACTTTTCTGATTCAATCTTACATATTTCACAAATGGCGTTCTTTTTTTGTTGATTACTGTATTATTTTTGTTTCATTACCAGGATATTTTTGTAATAATTTAAGCTGAATGTCAGTAAAGTTTAAAATCAAGATTTTGGAAAAACAATTTCATAAAAATTATCTGGATTTTTTATGCCGGACATGTCCATCGGACATGTCGTAAAAATTGGACATGTCCTGAGGACACTTTTTAAGATTGATAAGTTGTATGCGCATGCACAGAATTATTTGTTGCATTCATAATTCCCGCAAAAAATGTTTGAGGTTCGTACATGTAAAATTGAACATATTTAGCTATTTTCTTGTAATTTTATTGCTGAAACTGACATTTTAAAAATAGAACCTCTTTTATAAGTCCATATTTTATTATTTTTGGCAAAGTTAAGAATTCCAGTAGGATGGAAAAATATTTAAATAAGTGTATTGGCTCTCTGGGGAATTATTAGAAACCAGTTTACAAAAAAGTAGGTAATAAGGAAAATATATCGACACATATTCATTAGAATAAAAGTAATATTTTGCTTTGTGTACCTTCAAGCAGTGACCTATGAAAACATGACGTCACTCATAGGTGCCTTATTAGATTCAAGGTCAAAAGTACTTTTTCCGACATGTCCAGACATTTCATCGACATGTCCGTAACACTTTTCTGAACAGTGCCCATCTCTAGGATTTTTCTTGATTCACAATGATGTCAAAGATTCATTAAAAAAAAATTACTTTGTTTACCGATTTCCACAACAGTCCAACGCTTTTTGTAATGCAAAAATTCATTTCCAGTCAGCTGTTTTCTATTCCTCTGAATTTTTGGTTTCAAGATTTTTATAAGTGTTACTGATTTTCACAAAAATCAGATGCTTTTCTAACCCAAATATTTACCTCCGTCCATTATTTTGATATTCTTGAAATTTTTTTGTTTCGAAATTTTCGTAAGATCCTTCGAAACCATTAATTTACCGATTTCTATAAAAGTTAAGATATTTTTCGTAACGCTAGTATTCACTTTTGGTCAGTTGTTTTATTTTAAAAAAAAATTATAATTTTGAAATTTCAATAGGTGACTATGAAGCCGTCAATTAATTCATTCCCACTAATCAGATGCTTTTTAATAACAAATAATTACTTCTGATTCCCTATTATTTTTTAAATCTTGAGTTGAGATTTGGTATCAGTAAGTCCGAAAATGTAGGAATGAACTTTCAATTTTTGAGTACTCACATTTTTTCAATTTTGTCAAATTTTGCCATTAGTATAGTTAAACCTGTTTATTGTAATTGGGACACCCTGTAAGTGCAAAATATATTTTTCATTCATATTCAACAAGTAGATGATAAGGCATTTTTTAAATTTTCACAAAATGTTACAGAAATACATTTCTCCTTTGAATCAACCGAATAAAAACTTTAAATTTGACAAATTAATCCTGACACTTCTAAAACTAGAAAAATACCTGATTGTATGCAAGGTGCACGTTTTTCATGGCAAGCATGGCCAACTTGTAGGCCCTTGTGGGATAGCCCCGATGTTCCATATAACGAGCAATAGTAAACAGTTGCGATGACGTCATAATATGAGAAGCGGCATCTACAACAATCTGGTAAGCAGTCTCAAAGGCCAAAGCTTCATTTTCGCATAAGGTTAGAGCATTCAAGGCACAGTTTGGAGGGTCCTGGAAAAAAAATGCATTTAACAATTTTGAAATTAAATAAGCGTTTATAACACTTACTTTTGTAGCACACTGCAAAGCTAACGTCCTGGCACAACTAGATAACTCTTCTTGCTGGCTAAAGCTTAAACTAAGACGCATTATGGTACTGTGGGACATAATAGTTGTGGCGACGGGTCCTGTAGCTTCAGTGGCCGTAAAGAACTGATACCAGTTTTGCATTATGGAGATTAATGCGTCCACACCCACCTCTGTCGCGCAAGTGACCAACCAACGTACCATCTCCCGTCTACGCCAATTCAGCGATGACAAAGTCATTCTCATAACCTATCATACAATTTTTGAGTTAGCAATGCAAAATGCAATATGGTACAAAACGTTATTTTTTGTTTTGGTCTTAATGGCCTGCATAATGCAAATATGTCCGCAATCATCGAAATGATCTTGTGACAATCCCATTTTGCAAGTTAATGGTTGTGACAAATTTATTTTTGCATTTTTTTATGCTAAAAATATAAAAATTAGAAAAAATTTTTGCTTATATTTTAAATTCTTCTAATATGATACCTTAGAAATTTTTTTATTACGTGATTTAATTCTTAATTCACCGAATCAACACAAAATTACCTGTAGTCCCAATTCAAAAGCCACACTCAAAAGTGTAGGATGCCTGGGGCCGTTTTCAGGGGTGGCAAACCGAAAGGCGTCTTGAGCAAGCTTGAACAAATGGGAAGAACTGTGGATATGCCTCTGGGATGACTCCAAAACCGTACGAAGTCTCATTACTTCACCCTTGGCTGCACTCAACATTGTAGAACTGAGAGCGCACTGCTGTGTTTCAATATGACCTAAGGTGAACCACCTGGGTGATCGGCTTATCATCAGGGAACTGCTGGCGTTCCCCGCGAGTGGATCGTCCGAGTCCTCGTGTTCTTCCAAGAGTGGTAACCTCATTGCTCTCAGACCAACTTCATATGCCAAATCGGGATAGTAATTCAAAAGTGACAGAAACAAGAACCTAGCAAAAGTGTGCATAGGTATGCTTTCAGGGTGAATTCCAATGCCCAACCCACTAGTGGGGCCGCCCTCCAGAAGGATAATCGCTTGTCGCCTTAGAACAGCCACCAGGCTGTTATCTAGTTCGATCTCCTGTAACTTGGCTATGAGCCGGTCTTCCTGCTTACAAGCTTTTTCCTGGAATTAAAATAGAAAATAGGTACACATTATACAGAATGTTACAAAAAAGTAAACCATTACCTGCAGAATCTTTGGGTAAAAATAATAAGATTTCCCTTATGCTATTTTTCATCTAGGTGTCTATTAATGATTTGTTTGCAATGAACAATGACAAACTGTTATGCCTACGCTTGAGACAATGCCATCTATGATTGTTGAATAGAATCTCGTGAAAAATTACACCAATCACAACTGGCGAAACAGAATGTTGTGTTTTAATCTTGTTCTTATTGTTTTAATAATCTTACCGAAATTTAATTGCCAACATGAAGGAAATAAAATTATTGTTCCAATCATTTCTCTACATCTGTATCTGTATATTTAAAGTGAATACACATTAACTTTATAAAAAAAGTATAGAAATTTAGTAGAAACTGTCATAAATAGAGAAAAATCTTTAAATAATAAACTGCTCGTTATCAATTTACTGACTTTTTTCTTTAATGTTATCACCGATCCCTGATCTGTTTACATCATAATTTCTTTGTCCAAAAGAAAAAAATATATTCTAATCTAATTACATAATATTCCAACAGACAATAGAACATTGTATCACCACTAACAATAATAAATGAAAAACAATTTATCTCTTAAATAATGGCATATTCACCGATTATGAACAAAATATTTTCAGAATATAAAATTTACCTGTGCATACAATCCAACTGGCATAATTCTCTGTTGACCTAAACCAATAAGGGCCACCTCGAAGGCAAGCGTTAGATATGTTTCAGACCTATCCCGAGAACCCACGACAGGCACGTGGTGATATCGGGGTCGAATATTGTTATGTTGATCCTCCATCCCTACCAAATCTAACAAATACAAGAGTTAAAAGTCTCAAATAGTTGCCACTGACGAAAATACTTACCTAGATAACTAGGCGTCCTGGGTCGTTCGTTCTCTGGAATTATAGAAGCATCTGCTAGGGTATCAAACAGACAACCGATGGGATCTAGTGGGTGGCCCACCCAGCCGTCTAAATTTGTAGGCGCATTCACAGAAGTGGTAGAACAGGAATTACTGTTGCACTGTCCTTGACATCTGGACGTACAAGCAGACAGTTTGCAATTAGATTGCATTTTGCTACTACTGCTGCTGCTACTAGTATTCTGTTGGCTTTCGTGCCACTTTCTCTGCGCTACAAGCTGCTGCTGTTTCATCGTACGCACTACGGAAACAGCCAAGCGGAGTGCTGCCTCCATATGGCCGTGAGATCGAAGAGAATCTACACGCGATGCACATAGAGGTATTGGTTCTGTGGATGAAGATGAAAAAACATGCATTATAGATTTTCATTAAATTAAATACAGGGTTTTTCTTGATGAACTATGTTTGATGGAATATGCATGAACATCTAATGCTGCAGGAAGACAAACTGGGCAAGTACACTACAACTTACTTTAGTTGCAGTCAACATTCGTGGGACTTAATTATATTTTTGATGCTTAATTAAGAATTCCAAAATTTTAAGATATAAAAAATTTGTTTATTATTTTTTAGGATTTTGGTTGTGAAAATTCCCATTTTTGTAGTTACAGGAAAAATTTCCATTTTTTTGTGCCTAGCCAGAAAACTTTACCCTGTATATTATCTTCTATTATTTCATATATAATTTGAAAATACATGAATTGTATGTAAAATTGTGGGCATGATTTCAATGATATTGTACCAATACAGACATTTTTTTTAATGAGTAAAATACAAATTATTTCAAGTTCAAATTATTTCCTCAAAATGAAAACATGAATGTTGGCTATTTAGGTATGTAAATTTGTACAATTGGAAAAGGTAATCTCAAAGTGACTTTCATAATCGTCTTTTTTCATGTGGCAAAAAGTGGTCTTTCTTTATACTAATGAGAACAGTTAGGGTTAGTTAATATTTTTTCTTAGTAGTTTTAATTACAAAATTAAAAAAAATGATGTCCTGCTTGCAAAAGTTCACCCTGTATACTTTTCCAGCAGTCCTTATATTAAGCTACAAATTAGGTTTTAATATCTGCATCAAATGCAATGTTAGTTTTCAGAACCTGCTAACTTTTCCTTTTTAATTCTTTTTGTACAATATATAGAGGAACTTTTCCAATGTATCAAGAGAAAAAAGGATCATGTTAGAATCTCATGTTCTTTAATGTTGCAAATTACAGAAGTATAAAACTAGAATACGAAAATAAGTACAGTATACTTATCGCTAAAACAAATTATTGCTACGAGATAGAAAAAATATACAAGTGAACTTTGTAAACAGCCAGAAAAAAATGGAAATTTCTAACAACTGGAACTTGGTACTTCTGGCTTTGAGAGCCTATTTTCGGTGGTATGTTGTGTACACAAACCATCAAAAGATGTAGCCAAATATAAGTTTTAATGATAATGTATGGATTAGACGTATACAGGGTGTCCGGTAAATAATGAATAACCTTTTAACCGTGGATGGGGGACCCTAGGTTGTTCAGAAAATCGACTTGTCTTAGTACAAAGTCCCTTCGTTTTTCAGTTATTTCGTTTTTTTTTCGAAATTTCCGTCATAGGTTACTTTATTGGTCACTACGGCCACAAGAGAACGTATTATCTTTCAGTTATTTTGCGTAATATTCTTGAATTGTGTTATTATCGGATGCTTATCAGAATTTTTAACTAGCAGATTTTTTCAACAAGATCCTGTGGAGTGATGAATCAACTTCCTAAAAAGATGGCCTTCTGAATTTTCACAAGCTACACAGCTCCGCATTTAATGTGGGAAAATCCGCATTTAATGTGGGAAGACCGATCACAATATCAATTTAAAATCAATTATTGGACAGGAATATTAAATGGATGGATTGGTCCAGTAAAAAATGCCAGGGAACTTAAATGGTGAAAATTATTTGGAATTCCACAATGAACTCCCCAATTTATTAGAAAACGTAGAATTGAGACTAAGAACAACTATGTGGTTGTAACATGATATCTGTCCTGCACACTACGCTGCAGCAGTCCGAAAAGTTAGAATCAGTTGTATCCAGGTCGCTGGATTGGTCGCATGGGTCCAATTGCGTGGCCTCCGCGTTTACCGGATTTAAATCCGCTACTCTTTTTACTAGGGCTGCCTGAAAGAAAATGTCTATAGCAGGCCAGTTGACACAATACAAGAATTGCGGAACCACGGCCAAAAAGCCGCTCGTGAAATTAGTCATCCAGGATACAAACGAAAGCTCCGAAGGGCATTCATAAGATGGTGCAGAGCCTGCATCAGGGAAGGCGGCAGACAATTTGAACATTTACTGTAACTTTTAAATAAAATTAAATAATAACTTAAAAGATAATATGTCCTTTTGTGGCCGTAGTGACCAAGTAACTTATGGCGGAAATTTTGAAAAAATAACTGAAAAACGAAGGGACTTTGTACTGACAAACGTCGATTTTCTGAACGACCTTAGGGTCCCCCGTCCATGGTTAAAAGGTTATCCATTATTTATCGGACACCCGATATATCTACAAATTATGATCCCAGACATTCTGAAGATTATCCCACTTTGCCATGCCGATATGAACAGTTTATCAAACTCCATTATTAGTGATGATAAGTGATAAATGTAAAAAAGTATCTTACCATGCCATAACGGCTGTCCCTGCGAATTAAAGCTACCAGAACTAGATGTGTCAGGAACATGAGAACAGTATGTATCACTAGACAAAATATTCTTTAAATGCATATTATCCCAAGACATAGTAACCGCATCCAATGCTCTAAAATCATAATTATTATTAATTTTCATCAACCTTAATTACTCAATATAATTATACCTATGAAATATCGACCTTGGTAAGGTAGGTGTATGTGACTTAGAATGATTCCCTGATAAACGTAACCGTTTGCTACTCCTAGGGCTGTATGAACTTGAGTCATCGTCATCATCGTCCGAACTGTCAGATGAGTCATAAGCAGCACGGTTTCTGTCTCTTTCTCTCTCTCTGTCACGATCTCTCCTGTCTCGACGATCACGTTCTCTATCAGCGTATCTATCCCTATCCCTGTACCTTTCATCGTATCTATCTCTGTCACGATCCCTAGTTGAATACTGTAAAATAAATGAATAATTAGTAGATCGCGGTATGCAAAAGTTGTGCAGTAATTACTGAATCTCGCGATCCTTGTTGTAACCGAAAGTCTGGGTCTTCGGGCGGGCATACATCAATTACAGCCCATTTTTCAAGTAATGCTTTCCATTGCTGTTTCTCATGTTGAGTACAGTTTGGATTTAGTACGATACACACCCATAAAGATCCCAATTGATCCCATAATTGCCTACATTTGTCAGTCATTGGGGTACCTTGATTACGCCACATCTGTAACCTCGGATCCGACAAAAACTGCTCGGTGATCAAAGTAAGCATTCTCGCCCCATTTGAATCTTGTGCACGTAGCATTTCTCTAACCTAAAACACAAAAATTGCTTCAAATCAAATTTAAGTTTGCAACACCACATTACCTTTGAAAATAGCGAATTTAATTGTTTGTTAGCATTATAGTAGGCTCCCTGGGAGAGGTACGACTTTACTTGTTCGCAGACCTGCTCCTCATCCAAATGCCAGGTATGTTCGTCATCTGCAGAAGCTCCAGCCGTAGGATCAGGAGCTCCAGGTATTTGATTAATTTCTGACCGCTGCTGCAAAATTTCATCAGCCAACTTCTGAGCTGTTGGCAGCACTTCGGTGTGGTGCTCCGAGATCAGGTACTGTACAAATTTTTGCAGCTGCTGCCTATCCATTTGCAGGAGAGTTTCTGCAAATATTAGTTATTTACATTTTGAATATGAACTTGGTTTGATAAACTTACTCTTAATGGTAATATGTCAGTTAGGTATTTACATTATCTTGTACTACTTGTACTTGTATTTACATTATCTTGTACTACTTGTACTACTTGTAATTTTCAGTGTGGAAAAATTCAGTAAAATAGCAATAATTAATTTAATTATAATTTATTAGGAAATATACTTTATAAAATTTTCTACTTGTTCGTTACCACTTATAAATTTATATAACTATAGCTATTTTTTTTATTGAATACAAGATTAAGACATTTAAAATCACCAAAATCAAAGAACATATAGTTTTTGAAATATTGAAAATTATCTTCAGAGATATTAGGAAGAAAGTCACAAAAAATATGAATAATTAAGAAAATTCATTGACTTCAAATCGCAACTTCTAGATCAATAATTTTATTGTTCCATTATTAAATCATGAATGCATTATAGAGATACTCTGAATCGTACTTGGTAGTATAACATTAAAATTCCATGTGTTCTAAAACTGTAAGAAATATAAAAAAGTACTATTTCTAACGTAATAATACCAATCAGAAGGAGGGGGGTCGATAAGGTCGGTTTTCGGCCTAAATTTAATTTAGATGAAAATGTTCAAAATAAGTTCCTGTAGTATTTACTAAAAAAACTAAATCCATTCCATCCTAAACGGACCACCCCCACCTCCTCTGGTGTCCCCCAATCATCCCTTAAAATAGGTACTGAAATCACACACATCACATAAAAATAGCATTTTTTGGAAAGATTCGTCACTGACAAACTAATATTTTCTTAGTAATGTACAATGAACTCTATATTAACTATTTTCACTCTTATTTATCACCCCTGTCCCGTAACACTTTCATGTGTGGTTGCCATGACTCATCGTCACCACGTGGAGGTGCCCTGGTTGCAAACACACTTTACAACCACATATACGTTGCATGTGCAGAGCCAAAATTCCTCAAGTCTTTATTTTTCTGCAGGTTTTTAGCGATTTTCTAAAGACTGAAGGAGCAAAACTCACCAAGGATTCGTGTTCAGGAGACATAAGTGCATCGAAAATCGTATGTCACGTGTAAAGTACAAATACCCTTTTTTTTGTAAGCCTGTGTAGTAAATCCACCTTTTACCCCCTCCACCCTCCTCAAAGGGGGTAAAAAGGCAAAAAGTGATAAATAAGAGTGAAAATAGTTAATATAGATTTTATAGCACGTTATTACGAAAAATTAGTTTGCCAGTGACGAATCTTTCCAAAAATGCTGTTATTTTCACTATTTTAAGGTGTGGTTGGGGGGCACTAGGGGGGGTGGGGGTGGTCCGTTTAGGGCGGAATCGACTTAGTTTTTTTAGTAGATACTACAGGAACTTATTTTGAACAATTTCATCCAAATTAAATTTAAGCCAAAAAACGGCCTTATCGACCTTTCTCCTTTAATACAGGACCCTGATTATGCAGTATAATTTTATTACTTTCTAGAAGTATAGATCTAATATTAGTTTTATTATTAAAATTAATATCATAAAATAATTTCATATTTATGGCCTTCTTAGAATGCCTAATTATTTCTTAGTGACACTTTTCAATATTTCAAAAATATTTTGGTCATTTTGGTCAGTCTAAAAATTGAACACCTATGAAGTACGTAAATAAAAATTTTTTTAATTTTATGATCAGGCAAGAAATTTTATAATTGCATTTTCCTATAATTTTACAATTTAAAATTTGTTTTTGAAATTATGGAGTCAATATTTTGTAAAAAAAATACAAAAGATATGATAAAATTACGTATTACTAGACCCAGGAAAGGAAACATTTTGAAATTTATTAACCTACTGGGTGTGATTTTATTATTGGAAAGTCTTGACAATGATAATACAAGAGGCATCTCATCTCGTGGGTCATGAAAAAAGTATAGCGTCATTGTTTTTTATCAACAAATAGGTAAAAGATTCGTCATTTTTCGTTCTACACGTTATTGTAAAAAAACTATTAATCTTAGCAAAAAATTTTCAGCAGACGATTTGATCTAGAGAAACTCATCTTTAAAATGAGGGTTTATAAGTTAAAATTGCTTTATAAACAAAAATTTTTTTGCAAAATTAAACGGAAAAAGTGCTTTTTCTTTAATTGTTAATAACTTTTTAAATAATTAATAAAATCTTACGGAACTTTCCCAAAATGTGAGTTTTTATATCCTTAAGAGATGAGCTCGATGATAATGGGCTCGATCGGTCAAATAGTTTTTGCAAAATTCCATGTATTTATCCCATTTTTGCAAAAAAGGCCCATTTTCAAATGACTATTCCGGGGGCAGGGTTATGACTAAAACATTCTTTTTGGGCTCATTTTCTTCGAAGGGACACCCAAGTATCTTCTGGTTAAAAAAAATAATTTTATTTTTTCAAATTTAGTTGTATATAATTATTAACAAATAAAAGGCACTTTTTTCTCTAATAAACAAATAAAATAACTCCGCGGTTTTTAACTTTTTGAAATAAGTTATATAAACCATTACCATTACCAGCTCATAAAAAAACCTACAAATTGAAAAAAAAAGATTCTACAACCAATAGGTCCGGAGTTAGCAATTTTTTTACAACTAAATTTGAAAAAAAAATTATTTTTTTTTAACTAGAAGATACTTGGTGTCCCTTCGAAGAAAATGAGCCCAAAAAGAATGTTTTAGTCATAACCCTGCCCCCAGAATAGTCATTTGAAAATGGGCTTTGACCGATCGAGCTCATCTTTTGCACATCTCTTAAGGATATAAAAACTCACATTTTGGGAAAGTTTGGTAAGGTTTTATCAATTATTTAAAAAGTTATTAACAATTAAAGAAAAAGCACTTTTTCCATTTATTTTTGCAATAAATTGTTCGTTTATAAAGCAATTTTAACTTATAAAGTCTCATTTTAAAGATGAGTTTCTCTAGATCAAATCGTCTGTTGAACATTTTTTGCTAAGATTAATAGTTTTTTTACAATAACACGTATAACAAAAAATGACGAATTTTTGAGCTATTTGTTGATAAAAAACAATGACGCTATACTTTTTTCATGACTCATGAGATGAGACGCCTCTTGTATTTGCATTCCCAAGACTTTCCAACAAAAAAATCATGCCCAGTAATTTTCACGATTTCTTGATGATTTTTCATCTTCATATCTATACTATTAAGACTGATAAAGTCAGGCTGTATTTAAAATTGATATTATATTACTATTAACATTTTTTTAAGAACAGGTGCAACCAATATAAAAACTTCAAGTACCTAACTTCCTAACAGTTGACAGTAATAAAAAATAAAAAGTTTTTCTATAAATAAACATTAACGAAACAGGTTTATTGAATATATTAGTTACAAAAAAATAATTTATACAACTTAACAATAAGTAACATATATCACACGTTCTGTACATGATTATTAAACATTATTTTATATGAATTGGCATCAAAGCTAGTCCCCCCTTTGTTTTTCCATGGGCTGCCTTTTTCTTGGGAGTACCGGCTTTTGTTTTCCATTTACGATACGGCCTTTTAGACTTTTTATAATTATTTTTGAACTTCTTGGCTCCCTTTTTGTAGCCACCAGTAGACTTTCTCTTTACACCTTGACTCGATGAACAAAAATCATCATCGTCAAAAGAACTACTATTATAAGTTTGTAAAGGTTTAGCAGTAACTTGTAATGCATCTACTTGCTCCCTAAATTTTGAAGTAATCTTTAAGAAGTTTTCACCGCACTTTTTGAAGTTTGCCACGGTAACATGTTGGATTTTTAAAAATTCTTCTTGGGTTTTAGGCAGGACCTCCGACATGCTTTTTATAGCAGATAAGTTCATAATCGATGACAGCGTGACGTTTTTCTCAAGAGCTAATCTTCGGCATTCTTCCAAAAGTTCCTCATGGCACTGTACTTTGAGATTGCTTATTTTGTATCTGCTAACTGTCGGCTTCGGTACTGGAGATTCACTAACTAAGGTGGCGACAGCATTTGACGGTCCAGCTTCATCAGGTAACGTTAACTCAGGGTAAGATTTTTTGTTAGTTGTCATTGCCGTAGTACTAGTAGGAAGAGTAAGTTTAACATTTGGTGAATCTAATATTTTAAACTTTAACCCAGGTTTTATATAAACTACAGGATATTCTCCAGTGTATTTATGATGGTCATCCAATACACCTCTTATAATCAAGTCTTTAAGAATTCTTGTTACTTGAAGTCGATCCATTTTACTACCAGCCCCATAATATTTATGTACATTATGTCCACGTTCCAAAATTTTTTTCATTTTGGAACCCCTGTAGACGTCAGCGACATGAAACATTGTAACACAACCTTTTACCGAAAGGTCCCGTACTAAAATTCCCAATTCTTTGGCCTCTTTTGTGATATCAACTAAATCGTAATTCCTAAAGTTTTCACAATTGTCACAAGTAGTCTCTTTATTTTGTACACATATCTGACGATCAAAATTTTCACCTAAATGTAGCAATTGCAGGCGTCGTCTACAATCAACTACATTTTCAGCAAAAGCGACCATTTGCTTCAAGTTTTCCATGTGTCCATCAAGTGCCTTTTTATTTGAATTTCTATCCATTTGCATTAGTTTTTGCAGTCTACCGACATCTGAATAATTATAAAACAGATAAGAGTATGACGTTTCTCCATCACGACCTGCTCTACCGGATTCTTGGTAAAATGCTTCCACCGACTTTGGAATCGAGTTGTGAATGACGAATCGAACATCTGGTTTGTCTATTCCCATGCCAAACGCTATGGTTGCTACGATAATATGAAACTGGTCTTGCATCCATTGCCTTTGAATATTCTCTCTAACTTTATCACTCATGCCCGCATGATAAGGTTTCGTTTTAATAGCCAAAGTGTTCAAATTGGTTGCTAAGGTTTCACAGTCTTTTCTTGACAAACAGTAGATGATACCAGACTTTTTCGCAAAACGTTTCTTTATTAAATCAGATATTTCCTTGACAGCTAGCCTATTGGATTTAGGTAGGACTTGATACTTTATGTTTGGTCGATTAAAACTGCGAATAAATCTTTTGACGTTTTTCAATTTTAAACTGTTTATTACATCTGTTTCTACCTGCTTTGTTGCAGTAGCGGTCAAACATATTATCGGTACTGTTGCATACTGTCTTCGTAACAATGAAAGCTGTTTATAATCAGGCCTAAAGTCATGCCCCCATTGCGATAAACAATGGGCTTCATCTATGACGAATCTTGATAATTTATCACGTTGATAAAGAGAATCAAACGTATCCTTTAATTTATTTGAAGCGACTATTTTTTCAGGAGTTACATATAAAAGTTTAATTCCAGGCTCACGCATATGAAGCTTCGATAGAATTTGTTTCGTAGCTGATTCTGTCACATCCGAACACAAATGTGCAGCGGGAATATCAAGGCCATTTAATTTATCTACCTGGTCGCTTATTAGTGCTCTAAGTGGCGATATAACGATTGTAACACCTTCACTTAAAATGGCTGGCAGCTGATAACACAAACTTTTACCTCCTCCTGTCGGCATTAGCACAAAACAATCGTGTCTATTCAAACTTGCATTAATAACTTCTCTCTGATGGGGACGGAAATTCCTTAATCCAAATTTTTCACGTAACACTTCCATCATCACCTCTGAGAAATGATAATTCCTTTTAAATTCCAAAGAGTCGTCTCCACGCACTCCCAAAAATTCTGGAATAGTGTTTTGAGAAAATACATCTTTAGGATACGTGTTATCACAAAATACATCTTCTTGCCAATTGACATCACCTACTTCTTTTAAAATATCTGAATTTAGTTTTTCAGATTCAAACTCTTCATTCCAATCTATATCATTTAAATTGAACTCATCTACGGAGGTCGATGATTTTGACGAAGTTGTTTGATTAATACTATTTAATTCTGTGTTACCACTACAGAAAAGTTTCTCAAATTGTTCATCACTCATGTAATCAGCCTGAGTAGTTTCTAAGGATTGGCTTACACATAAAACTGTATCATCAAAGCCTGCGCTAGGAAAAAGGTTCTTCTTAACTTCTGTTACTTGTCTAGGAGATACGTCTTTTTTATTGTTATGAAATAATTCATCAGAACTAATAATTATAGGACTTTCACCTACTCTTAAACCTTTCGTTTGTGGTGTTTCATGTACTGAAAAGGAATTATTTTCAGACTGTTTTGAAGACAACTGGCTGAGACTACTTGAAGAAATAATATGGTTCTTCTTTTTAAAAACAAATTTTCTTGGTTTGATCACAGGGGAAGAATTACATAAACTATTATCAGTGTTATCTGTATTCACTTCTGTTAATGAATTCACACTGTCTTCCTTGTTTGAATGTATGGATTCTTGTCGATTAAACTGTCTATTAATATTCTCTGCATAACTGCCCGTACGATCTTGAAGTAAGTCATTTGAATGTGAATTGGTATTAGGAAATTCACTTTTAGGTGAAAAATCAACTGCATCTGTCAGCTTGGACCTATCTGGACAATTAAATAAGGCACTGCTTGGAGTATTTACAGAGTTTGATGTTTTCTTAAACTGAAATTTTGAACTGCTCTTCACTAATTGTTTTTGTTTTAAATTTCCAGAACCATTTTTTCCTTTGATAGCATTTGAAGTGCTAGACGATTTACAATTATTTATTCTGGAAGTATCCGATTTATTCTTATTGAACAAAAATACCGGTGCTACAGCAACATTTTTGTTATCATTCGATTTAACTGCGCTATTTTTCACCGTGGAACTAGAACGAATGGTGGAATTTTTTCTTCCAGTACAACTTAAATTATTTGAAGGTAACGTTTTACTTTGGGTTTCATTACATATATCGTTTTTCACCACATCTTCTTCAAATGCTTCATTAAAAATGTTGTATAACTGTCTTTCTACACTGTCCTTTATAAAACTGTTGTCCAATTTTTCTTTCGATTCAATTACTGTTGCTACACGTTTTACACATTTTTCTGCAAAAAATGGTGACTTAACGCCTCCTTCACTTGCACCAATTTCATTAGTTTTGTCTATTTTGTCTTTCTTAAAACAAAACTTCTTTGTTTTAGAAACCACTTTATCCTTAAACAAATCAAAAAAATCTTCGCTCTTATTATTTTCCATTGAAAACTTCTTCAAAAACAATTTTAATCACTTTCTTTACATAAATGTATAATGTATAATTTATAAAGTTGGAGAAAATTAATTATTTCATAATATAAACAGAAAGAAAAGAACGAAACTCAACTGAACGGATTCATCAGTGACCACAAATAATGAAATAAGATGGAAACCGTGAAAATAGAAGGCTAAATGTATGATACCACCAATCCATAGGAACGAAATATCACTAAAACATGATAATATATGGTGGATTTTGTTGTATCATGTTGCCAGTGCTTACGCTGTCGAGTTCTACGTTCTGTGTCAGATACAGAGATAGCAATAGTTAAACCTTATATTTTCCTTGTTTCACAGAATCCAATTTGAGCAACCTCCTGCTTTCAACTAATTAGATTTCGTTAAAAATGTAATGATAAATAATATGAATGAATGTAGGAACGATGTAACAATTTTACCTTTCCCATGATGTATAATATGAAATATCGCTGATATGAATGATATGGTGGGTGGGTAGAGTTCAGAATCTGTAACTTCATAATAACAGAACATAATAACAGGGTTTAGTACGTTTAGTTACCAATCTGTAAACAGGGCTGACAGAAAATCTTTACTAATCCCTTTATCTACAGTGTGATATAAATTAATTATAATTTTTCGATTGGAAATTTATAAAAGCATAGAAAACAGGTTAATAATTTTGATTCAAATGAGTGTACAAATAACAAATACTTTTAAGTCATTACCTATCTATATATCTATAATTACGATTTTTTCTCATATTACCTAACTGCGAACGGCATAAGCAAGCGTATCCTTATTGTTTTGTTGTATAATATTTTTAATTTAAAATTGTAAATTTACGTCAGTTTCCTTCAGAGTTTAACAATATTTTTATGAAATTAAATTCCTGTAACCCAGAGCCTCTAGTAAAATCATATCAAATACATATTTTTATATTTCTGGTTGTGAACACGCATATCGTAAATTTTACGTAACTTGAAGGTAATACATTTTTTCCAATAATGTACGATGCATTTTCATTTAGTTAATGTCTAAATAACATTGTTAATTACTATGCCAGCTCGTACACTGTGAAGAAATAATGAATCAAAATCGTCTAATAATAAATATCCAAACCACACCTTTCTGAAGTCTGAACGGCGTCCAAGTCTCCGCCCAGGCGCTGTAACGATTTCATATTACAGTTTTTCTGGGCACAGACCAACTTGGACGCCTCGCGGCGATGGAAAACTATAAAGTTTTCCCTATAAAAGTGTAGCATTATCTCCTGGCGGGAATACAGGTCGCTATCATCATATCGATTCGATTGCTCGACGAAAGGCGGGTGGCTTCGACGCATTATCACATCCCCTTTAAAACGAATTAATGATGCGTTTCGTGTGCCTGACTAGGTATAACTACACGGATATTTCTGCAACCACTGTTGTTTTATTAGCGTGTGAGCTAACAGAAAGCAATTTGCCTAGGCGCGACGTAGTCCAAAATTAGACCGATAAATATACACAGGGCGGAACCGAAACTCTGGAAAGGGATATTTATCGTTACATAACTTATGCAACCACAAATATATGCACACTACAAAGTTTCATAATGCTCCTTTGGTGTCGTTGCAATTTATGGTATTTCATGGTAAGAGTAGGAGATACCACATTCCCGTGAAATATTTTAAAATCGGTTGCTTGGCGCATGACGTCACGTGGAGAGTGATTTAAGCGGTTACGTACTGATAAATACAAAATGGTTTTAGTATCAAAATAAGTAGAACAACATTATTCAGTAATTTATGTGTAGCCCTATACAAATCTTTATTGGATTCTGACATTAAGTTGACAAATGTTAATTATTCGGTGCCTTACTCATTTCTTTAATATTACTTCTGGACTATAAAGCATAGACAGCTATATGTAGTCAGTCGTTTTAAAATACCATAAACAAATCCAAGCGATTTTAGTGATAAGCTCTTCAACTCACATTTTGAAAATGTTTTTATTATTTTGAAAATGGAAAACATGATGTTCTTATTAAATGATTTGCTTTGGTTGTTGCACATCGAAAAACAGACTAATGCATTTCAATAAATCCGTTTTTGATACCATACTACATATTTCAGACATATCTTATTTAATAATAATAAAGACATGAAATCAAATATTAGTCATTCATTCAACAAAATAAGTATGTAGTACCAAATGTCATTTAAAAAAGTAGTCTTTTCGATATTTTGGGAGACAAGACCGCGAGGGTGCTTTATCCCCGTGACCTCAAAATAGCTATTGGTAAATTGAATATATTGTAGAAATAGCTTCCAATAAAATAGTTTTTGCCCAAAAATTATCGAAATTTAATGCGAAATAAAAAAGTTACAACGATAAATAGATTTTCAACTTTCAACTTCAAGAGCTAATAGTTCTACATTGTTAGACTGAATAAAAAGCGTACATGAACTTGTGACGTCATTTTTGCATGGCCAAACCCAGATTTTTTAACCTTGTGGAGTGCTGCAATAGTTTTCATTCTAAACTCACATTTATAAAAGACTTAAACATTGTTCATACGATTCTTATTGTACCCGTACGAATATAAATTGCGAATATTTCTAAAATATCTATTAGTATATACATGTATATTAGCATTGTATAAGTAAATATTTACTTATACAATGATATTAGGTATGAATAGGTTGGATTGAATATACAACAGTTTTACTGAAGTAATAATGCTATCTTTATTTCGATAACAGTTAAATCTTAAATCTTTGACAGATGCTAGGTTAAAAGTGAGTACATACCATTTTGTGTGGTGTTTTCCTAAAAATGTATGGGGTAGGATTGAAATTTTTATATGACTATTACTGATTACTGTGTTTATGCAACCCAATATACACAAAAGTAATCAAATGATAATCTTTAGTTGACTATACAGGGTGATTCATTAATAATGGCACAGAGCTTAAGGACATGTTGCCGACCTCAAAATAGAGCGATTAAGCCAAATATGCCTTATCCGAATGATGCCTCTTTTCGATCTACAGGGTGTTAAAGTTGAAAAAATATTTTCGATTTTTTAAAATATCTTGAGCATCTTTGAACGGATTGTCTTGAAAGTTTGTACACCTATGTTTTCTGAGGTGGTAATAGGGTCCACTATAAAAACAAACCATATACAAATTGTTGTTGAGTCAAAGATTTTATATAAAAGAACCTGCCTGTATAGTCAAATTTTAAATATATGACAAATTAGTGGTAGAAATCATTTATGAATTTTTGCGTTACTTAAAAACTAGTCTGACGTCATAAGGGGCAATTGAACAAGAAGCTAGTAGCGATCCTATTGCATAATTTTGAAGAAGAAGAAAATATGTCAAAATTGTCCATCAAACCCTGCTGCCCTGTTTCCTGTTTTTTAAACAAAAGTGACACTAGTGACAGCAGTCTATCAATTAAGAGTATTTGTGATAGTTATTATTAATTTCCTGATTGTAATGGATTCAACAAAATTTAAGTGGTGTTTTGTTCCACATTCCACATAGCCAATTGCATTATCTCCATAAGACTCCCGAACTGCACTATAAATTTCCATAAATAAATAGGTATTTTATATAAATAAACACAATAAAATCATTCGTTAAATATATTGATCCTTACCTGATTGCTTTTATACCTCTGATTTCGCCAATATTAAAACGCTTGTCTCTTTTTAAAAATTCAATTCATGATCATAAAAATATCAATTTTCGGTAAAATTTGCGAAGTAGCTTTCACAAATCCCGATTCACACATGCTGCTTTAATTATAAGAAAAGCTATTAAATGATTATTACTAAATAATATTTTACTTAATAAAGGAATTTGAAGATTAAGGAAAATAACTCGTAGACTTGAAAATATTTTATACGACTGTGTCACTGACAGACTGACACTACTGACAGTGATGACAGAACGTCTTCTTCTTCCAATATTTTTCCTTTACGCAATCATTTACACATAATTTCATTACAAGGTGCCCCTTATGACGTCACAGCAGTTTTGAATTGTTATAAAAGAATCAGTTTTAAATAATTATTTTAAAACTGTTCTGACGCATTTCTGAATCTCTAATTGTGTATAAACACTAGTTAGTACGTGTAGAATTATATTATCTACTTTTTGAAATTTGGTCAACAACCCTATTATGGAAATGGTAACTGTTTTGCAATCACATCTAGGATGCGCTAGTTGTAGTGTTCCGTCGAAGTAAACATATGTCAAACTTTTTTGTCCTTCAAAAATCTGAATTTCCAATAAGAAATTATTAAACTACGTTCAATTCTAAATAAAAAAGATATACCTGTTAAAAATCGATAAACTTAACCGTTTTCGAAATAAGAACTATTACTATTTCTTTACAAAATTATTTGTTTGAACGTACGCCTTTAAATAAGATGACTTAATGAAGTAGGCCGCTGTCAATGAAATGTCATGTATTATTTATGTCAATTCTAAGCAACTTATAAATACTAGACAGTTTAGTTCTTCTTCGTTTGTGATTTTTTTCATTAAAATGCCGCGTCATAATGATTATTCGTTTGTTGAAATGAGAAACATGGTATGTGTGTATGCCCAAGAAAATTATTGTGGTCGTCATGCAGCAGCGAGGTACTTGGAGTTATATCCAAATAACAGACAACCTAACCACAAGCTTTTCAAGACGTTGTACGACAGATTAGGAGAAACGGGATCATTTCGCCCTAAACGAGACGTTGGAAGGCCTAAAGTATTAGCGGCGGAGCAAGAAGAGGATGTTTTAGTGCGAATTGCCGAAAACACGCAAACAAGCACACGCCGAATTTCATCAGCTACTGGTGTAAGTCAGCCTTCCGTCTTCAGAATACTCCACAAAGAAAAATTGTATCCTTACCATTTTCGTCCGGTTCAACAGTTGATGCCACAAGATCCTCCTGGTAGATTTCGGTTCGCACAGTTTCTTCGTCGGCAACAAAATGCTGACCCTACATTTTATAATAAAATATTGTTTACGGACGAAGCTACATTTACCCGGCGCGGTGTATTTAATTGGAGAAATAGCCATTCCTGGGAACTGGAAAATCCTCACTTGCCACGAGAACAACATTTTCAGCATGAATTCTCAATAAATATTTGGTGTGGAATACTTTCCGATAACATTTTGGGACCATTTGTGTTACCCCGTCCACTTAATGGGGAAAACTATTTAAATTTTTTAACAAATGACTTGCCCCTCGTTCTTGGAAATATCCCCTTAAATTTCCCTTTTGGTTTATGCATGATGGTGCTCCCGCACATTACGCCCGACCAGTAAGAGAATATCTTGATATAAGTTTTCGAAACCGTTGGATTGGTCGCGGCAGCGAAGTGCCTTGGCCTGCGCGTAGCCCTGATTTAGATACCCTAGATTTTTATTTCTGGGGTAACGTTAAATCTTTAGTTTATAAAGATGTTATACATACTCGAGAAGAGCTGTGGGCAAAAATACATGCAAGAATCTGTTAACATTATCAGAAACCAACAAAGAAGTCTATTCAGTGTCAGAAAAAATTTTAACGAGAATAAAAAAAATGTATTGAAAACAATGGTCGCCACTTTGAGAATCTTTTGTAATTAGACTTAAGCATAATGAAATTTTCAGTTGTTACTGTGTTTGTCTTAATTCGTAATTAAGTCATCTTATTTAAAGGCGTACGTTCAAACAAATAATTTTGTAAAGAAATAGTAAATCGTTCTTATTTCGAAAACGGTTAAGTTTATCGATTTTTAACAGGTATATCTTTTTTATTTAGAATTGAACGTAGTTTAATAATTTCTTATTGGAAATTCAGATTTTTGAAGGACAAAAAAGTTTGACATATGTTTACTCCGACGGAACACTACAACTAGCGCATCCTAGATGTGATTGCAGAATAGTTACCATTTCCGTAATTACCACCTCAGAAAACATAGGTGTACAAACTTTCAAGACAATCCGTTCAAAGATGCTCAAGATATTAAAAAAAATCGAAAATATTTTTTCAACAACACCCTGTAGATCGAAAAGGAGCAGCATTCGGATAAGGCATATTTGGCTTAATCGCTCTATTTTGAGGTCAGCAACATGCCCTTAAGCTCTGTCCCATTATTAATGAATCACTATGTATAAGAGCTTTACTGATATAACTACTGAACACTACACAAACTTGGGGTACAAAAATATCGAGTTTTTCCACAAAGAACAACAAGCTCGGCAATATTTCACGAATTTTAAATGGCACTGCAGAATCTCACATTTTACGACTCACTTGTGCGTCTGAGCACGGTACAAGATGTTTGAACGTTCCGCGTATACATAAACTTCCAACTGACTAATTGTGGGTAATTTGAGAGTAATTGAAATGCGATTAATTCTGAAACTGACGTACAATTCAATGAGCTGCCTCAACAGTCCCGCCGCTTGTAGCTTGTTTTGATTTTTGCGTACTTTTTACACTGGTTAAATTGAAAACAAACCGTCTTAATTTTTGTTCAGGCCAGGCTATGCACAGCATTCCTTCTACTCTTCAAATAAAAGCGTGGCGTTAAACACTACGAAGATGTGGCCCTTTTGTAATTCGTGAAGGGTATGTAGTGCTCTCTAGAGCAATTATTAGTTTACAGAGTAAATAAGAAATTATCAAATGGAATCTATTGAAAGTGACATGCCAGTAAAGATATCATGCATTATTTTCTTCAACACTTTACGTCTTTTCCACAAGGAAAAGTTGGAATGAATAGAATCTTGATTAAAAAAAATGTAGGAGATATGTTCAGCCTGATTCTAAAATTACTAGGTGATGAAAGGAAACGTTGGATAATGTACATTTGGATTTTGTCAAATCAAAAATTTGTTTCTGACATTTCCAATATAAAAAATAGAATAATGGTAATAAAAGAGTTAATATACCTAATAAACAAAATTGGATCGTTATTCTTGGAAAGCAATTAAAATAGTTTAAATGCATAAGAAAATAAAAACAAGAAAAAACGAAAACCAGGACCTTGGCAAAACTATTACAAATTTTTCAGTAATTCGTACATGAATTGGAAAATGATTGGTGTCCATACGTCCTGCAGCCGCAATATTATGTTTACATTCACCGTAGCTGTATCAATAGAATATTCACCAAACCGTAATTATTGTAATAAAAAAATCCTCTAGGTTCTAAAGTTAAATGTGTTACTTATTCTCCTTGATTTTTCCGATAATACAAGAATATGTGGAATTTTCATTGCATAAGTAATTTCTTTTTGTTGTTTGATAGAACTTGTTTTATTTTCAATATTGTTAAAAACTCTATTAACACAATTTCCAGGGCTTTGATTGCCTATTTATAAATTTTTTATTCATCGCTAAGAATTTCAGCTTTTCAGAAATTTAATTTGGCTCTACCTCACCAACATTTAATTATGTCTTTTAAATTTAAAATTTAAATATGCTGGTATGCGTTGGTTTGTTATAAACACTTATTTCTAACGAATTGTTTCGTTTTTAATCAAAATGTCTGGAAAAGGTAAAGTATTATCCTTTTCTATTTTTAAATTGAATTTATTATTGGTTGTTTATTACAGTTATCTAGAAAAATATTGTAATTCCTTAATGGTAAAAGGTTTACAAAAGATCCTCTGCATATCTCTTACTATACATATGATGGTAGATTTTTATTTATATTGTTGATACACCTTTTTACAATACAACTTTACGATACAACTTTAAAGGGCGAATCTTTGACTAAAAAGGTCCGCAACGGTTTGTTCGGTATTTTGATTATATTGTTGTTCAATAACATGGCAATTTCATGAAGTAATATATTTTTTTTGACAATAAAGGATAATTCAACACAAAACATAATAATAATAAATTGATAAATCATAAGTTAAAATACTAAGTTATCTATTTGACAGATTTATGACTGTTTTATCTGTGATAGGGTCATTTAAATTTAATTCTGTGTTTTATTTCATTTGATTTAATATTATATGCATGTTTAAAAACGTAATGTTTTTTGTTTGTAAAATTTCTTAATCTGAGAACAATTTTCTAACCAACTATTAGTAAAGTAGATTTTTTAGCAATCTACTTTTTTTTATCAAGATCTACCCTACCGCTCATTATAAAAACACTATTTGAATAAAAAACAACACTCTGTATAGCAAAAGTAATGTCTACAGAAAATGTCCACTGACGAAACAAATAGTAGGAAAATCTGAAACGAAACATCTTTTCAGCCTGACTTTATCTTGAAAACCTTCACCCTCTTCAGTAATGACCGCTCGAGACAGATCTTAGCTGACCATTGAGCCATTATAAGTTTTTGTGCAAGCCAGTCAAAAACTAAAGTATCTTACCTGAAATAGGGACGCGTAACCTCACACTTTCGGCATTCCGGATACGATAAAGTGACAGGGCGACGACGTGCTGGCACCAAAATATATCTTTCGTTTCGCAACTGCATGTCACTGAAGTTATTTTACACCTAGAAAACAAAAAATGCAATCCATTAGTCGCTGCACTCCTTCTAATATCTTGCAATTTATCATGTACAGGGTGTTTTGAAAAATGTGACATATATTCAGGGGCTGGTAAAGCATTTTTTCTTATGTATAATGGGCCTACTGTGTTTTGATTTTGAGAACTGGGATCCAAATCAAGTTTTGTTTGTTTGTTTAAAAATGGAACTTAGGTACTTTTCACATTTCTTTAAATAATTTTTCTCAAAGGTTTGCCTAAAAATTTTTCAAACAGCTTAAGAGAAATAGTACACAATTCTGTATATTGTAAATTTACATCCAAATGACCAAACACTATTACTGGAAGTTGTTGATTCTGATTTTTTCGGTAAAAACATCCCTTTAATATTATTTTCATAAATTCCGATAAAAGATTATTGATAAAAAGTTTTGCTTATCTTGGGAAGCCATGGGCAGTAATCAAATATGTAATAAAACAAACAAACACAACTAATGGCGTGGTTTCTTCTCAAAATTGTCGATATTGGTCTAAAGATAATCTAAATTTTCGATTGATAACTAATAGTCTAAGAAATTAAAAAGGTAAATGTCTGGTGTGGCATAGTGTATCTTAAAATTTGTCCTTACTTTTTGGAAAAAAATCTTAATCGTAAATTCGTATTTGGAAATTCGCAATAATTTTGTTTTGGCAGAACTAGATAGCGAAAATTTGGAGTTCAGAAAACTAATATTTCAACAAGACGGATGCCCTGCACATTCCACACTTCTAGTGAGAAACTGGCTTGACGTTCACTTCCCGAACAAGAACAAATATTCTTTATATCATTACTATCCTGATAAACTACTTTGATCCAAACAAATCTAAGATGTTTAAAAGCTGGTGAGAATATTCTTCTAAAGCGTTTAAAATCGCTTTGGTCTTCTATTGTCAAATCTGATAACAGAGAAGATCCAGTGCATTTTTTAAATAAAGTTCTGATCCATCATGTACTTTTTCTTTTCTTTGTGTTTTGACAAACTACCACTGCTGCGAGAGCATACTAAATGTACATTATATACATTACATAACATCTTGATATATTTTTCAGAACTGTTCAACAGATTTTTTCAAATATATACCAGCTTACTTATGTAAGACTTGCTACGTGATTCGTTCATGATTTTTTGTTACATTACTTATACTTATCCTGCCCTTAAGCTGGGTCCAGGCGCTAGGTTTTGCACAACGTTTTACCTGCACATTTCAACACGGAAAATGGCAGACCTTCGTCAATATTCCCGTGAGTTTTTTACATAATTTATTGACTTGTATAAAAGTTTCCCTCGAAATCAAAGGAATGTAGGACAGAAACAAAAAGAGCCAGACATACGAAATTTTAGTCGAAAAATTCAAAAATTCAAAGAGATTGAAACTGTAGCACATAGATAAACAATTACAAAAATATTTATTTTTTCTTTCTTACAAAAATTGACCAGAACAATACTGGTTGATTTCTCGAAAACTAAGTAAATAAATAGAGACATATTTGCACTGTGTGGACGCTCTAAATTTGCAACGATTTCATTCCGTTTTATGCCTGCGCAGGTAAAACGTTGTGCAAAACTTAGCGTCTGGACCCGGCTTAACATATTATTGACTTTATAGTGGCAGTTAGATTTCACATGCTAAAGCTTATACCAGAGTAAATGTTAGGCCATGGTCAGGCTGTTCATTTTCTTATAATTGAATAAATTCTCGAATTAATTGAGAATATATATTAGTAATTTGGTTACTTATTTTAAACGTCTCATATTAATATGCCAAAATATTATCTGCG